AGGAATAGAGCCTCCTTCTTTACAGTACTTTTTAAAAAAACCCCAGAGCTTGTTTATTTTTTCGATAGGAATGTCTGCTTCCACCCAGGCTTTTACTAAATCATTAATTATTATTTTTTTTTCATTAGCAACCTCCAATGTTGTAGGAAGAGATTGTTGGCGATCGTTACGATTAGCGATAATATATGAGCGACGGGCATCTTTATAGGCTTTTGAGTTTATATGCGTAATAACTGTAGTCTTATTTTTCCATCCAATGCTTATATTGCAAAACCGGCAAAAAAGTTTATTATCATCTACAAAAAGATCTTCGGAAAATTCTTGTGATCGCGAATGAGGTGTAACATGTTTTGATCTTCCCATTCTTGTGTTAATATGTATTGTTCCTTAGACTGACTTTAATGTTCTTTTAAATAATTGTTTCTAGGTTTTTTTTTCTCTTTCAGAGCGAACTACTAACGTAATTCTTTCTTCAAAATCGACTTAATTTTCAACTTTCAAAACCGATCCAATTTTTTTCACCTTCAGAACTCAATTATCTGCCTGTAAAAACTTCAAGAACTAATTAATCTTTCCTTTCTTCAGAACCGATCCAATATTTCTTTCCTTCAAAAAACCAGTCTAATAATTTTTTCCTTTAAAACAACCCGAACCTTTCTAATGCTTTATCTCTTTCAAATAGATTCAATCTTTTATTTATTTTATTTTATTTTATTTTTTTTATTTTTATTTTTTTTTTATTTTTATTTTTTTTTTATTTTTATTTTTTTATTTTTTTTTTATATTTATTTATTTATTATTTGTCGTTTTTTTTTTTATTCTTTTTTTTTTAAATAAATGTTATTTCTTCCTTCAGGATCAAATACAACAATTTGAAGCTTCGCTAATAGTTCTCTTCTCCAGAACCAACTTGATCTAAAACTAGTTCTCTTTCAGAGAGTGTAGCTAACATTTTCCTTCCTTTAAACTAAACTACCAGCCTCAAAGCCACTTCAGTTTCTTGCAAAAAGCCCTTTAAAATTTTTTTTACTGATTTTTTTTAATTTAAACTAAATTTTATGCCAATATGATTGGCTTAAAATCATGTGATTATGCCGAATTCCTGAAACATTTAGATTTACATAGGATATGTTTAAATATTTGGATTTATATGGAAAATGCTCGAATATTTGGATTTACATAGGTAAATTTGAATCCAAATTTTTCTGTGTCCCTGATTGGTACCAAGATAAGTACTAGTTCGTATTTTCTTTGCTTTTTTGTTTTTTTTTTACTATTGCTAACTTTTTTTTCTTTCTTGTAGGTCTTGTATTTCACCAGGAAGGGTTAATGAGCACTGGGCTTGAGATCTTGAACCTGGAACTGGTACCAAGATAAGTACTAGTTCATTTTTTTTTTGCTTTTTCTTTTGTTTGCTAGCAAAAAGGATGAAAGGTCAGGAGTTGTAGAAAATATATAATAGTTTAAAAAATTTAATATGAAAAAATTTTTTTAATCTAATATTTTTTTTAATAAATAAACATTACGTATTTATTATTTTATTTTTTATATGTAT